GGCGGCATATAAATAAAATAAAACTTAAACTTAAACTTAAAAGCCAGAAACAGGGATGCTCAGCAGACTCCAGGCCCTGCCTCACCTAAAGCTGGGAGAGGCAGGAAGGACAGAGAACACTTTTGCCTCTGTTGACCAATCTTTCCTGAACGGAAGAAACCGACACTATGTATTATAATTTAAAGTCCCTGTCCACTTATGAGTCGGTTCCCTGAACAAATGCGCGATAGACATAGGCGCGCCGACAAAACCGCGACGGACAAATGAGCGCCGTCAAAATCGCTAATTGATTTTCGACAGTAGCGCGCTGACAAATGCGCGCCGACAAAATCGCGTCACCAACATTAACACAGTGGGACGCATATACGTACGTTATAACCCTAACCCTAACCCTATTTTTTTTTTCGATTTTAATGTGCTTGTCATCGTGCTTTTGTCAGCGCGATTTTGACATCGCGAATTTGAGGGCGCAAATTTGACATTGCGTTTTAATCGGCACGATTTTGTCGGCGCGCATATGTCTATCGCGCAATTGTCACGTATGAGTCAAGTGTGGCATTTGGAAAAATAAATTTCCAGTCAAGTCTGACCGAAGGTGGTGGTGCCCCTCTTGTTTCTTAGCTGAGGGAGTCAGCATTGTCCAAAGACATTTCCATGACCATGTGGCCAGCATGACTAAATGCAGAACTGTACAGAATGCTGTTACCTTTCCACCGAAGTGGTACCTATTTATCTGCTTGTATTTGCATGCTTTCGAACTACTAGGTTTGCAGGAACTGGAGCATGTAACAGGAGCTCATGGCACTTGGTTCTCGAACCAGGGCTGTTGGCTTCCCAGCTGACAACTCGGCATCTTTAATTGCTGAGCCGTTGTGCCCCCTGAAGCTCAATTAAACGGTCATGAATTCCTATTATTCTGCATGTATTTTTGACTTCCTCTAGATATCAACCTTTCTGTAGTATTGTAATATTTTAAGGACCTGAACACTGAAATTCAAGGGCAACCATTGGGTGCTACAATTTAGAGAGCCACTGGAGATTGTCATGGCAAATAAGAAAATGTACTGGCACCACAACAGAAATCTGTGGGCGCTCTGAGGCCCTCTCTGATCTTCAGTGCTGCCTGCAGAGTCATTTTGCAACAAGTTATGGAGACCCCGCACCTCAGTTTCTATAGGTGACTCACCCTAGGCAAAACAATACATTTGTCAGGCCTGAAATTATATTCCTTTTAGAATTTTGGCCTGCCACACTTTCTCTTATTTCATTATGCTGTTTAATCCCAATTCTGGAAATGACATCAGAATCCCACCCAGTTAAAAGTTCATGATCTTGTCCCCACACCCACAAAT